GCGGGGGGGGCCCCACTGGTGTAGAGAGCAGTGCAGACCTGCCAGCCCAACCACTGCAGAGGGCTGTGCCCCTGCCAGTCCCAGCTCTCTGGGGCTTCGCTGTGTCCTTTTTGCACCCTGCAAGAAGATACACGGTGGTCTTTTCTCTGAGACCTGCATATTTGACTTGGCAGAGTTGTTTGCTTTGAAATTTTTATTTAAGTGTTACGTGCTTAGAGGAAGAGAGGGGAAGAAACGACCGCTAGGACAGGTTACAAGTGGAGGTGAAAGCTGCCCCCCCGCCCCGCACCTCTGTAACAGGGCCTCTGTGCTTTGCCCTTCACTTTCTTCTTTTAAGACAGGGTCTCACTCTCTGAAGGTCAGTGGTCCTGCCTCAGTCTCCCCAGTGGCTGGAATTATGGGCACACACCATCTTGCCTGGCTTTAGGTTGAATGAGGAATCGGACAGGGGCCTCTCCTCTGGTCCCAGCCTACGGAGCACGGCCACGTGGCTGGGCCTTCTCTTTAGAGCTCCTGCAAAGTGCACGTGTGCAGAGTGGCCACGTTTACAGTCTTCCCACTAAGTTCTCCCGTTGGTTCTCCTGGCTGGCCCCACGGAGCTCAGCCACACCTTCCGTGACTTGCTGAGGAACACTTGGGTGCTCCTGTCCGGGGAGGGTTGGTGGTCTGTCACAGCCATGCCAGCGTTTCCGAGGCCCTAGAGCCACAGCAAGGCCTTTCCACAGGCAGAACCAGACACGCAGGACTGAGGTCACCGTAACCTGGAGACCCCGGGTGGGCCCTCACACTCTGCCGGTCAGAAGCCACGGTTCCCTCAGGCTGTGTGGGTGGACCCAGGCCCCGAGGAGTACGGCTGCTGCGTCCGAGTCACTGGGCGCCCTGCTCTCCCCAGTCCCCAGAGGCACTGCCATCACCAGACAGATCGTCATCGGCACGCCCGGGACTGTTCTCGATTGGTGTTTCAAGAAAAGACTGATCGACCTGAGCAAGATCCGCGTGTTTGTCCTGGATGAGGCGGACGTAATGATTGACACCCAGGGGTTCTCGGATCAGAGCATCCGAATTCAAAGGTGACCGCAAGGTGGCCCATCTCCTGTCCACGGGCATCCCGCTGCTGCCCCACTCTGGTGGCCTCTCCCCACCCCAGCCTCAAGGTGACGTGGTCTCAGTACCGTCCCAGCTCTGCGGCCTCAGGTGCTGGGACTTCCGCATCTTTCCTGCTGTGACACCGGCTTACGGGCCGACGGCGGCCCTGCACTCCGCATCGCCGCAGCAGAACTATGAAGAGGGTGGTCCGCCAGCTCTCCCAGGGGTCTCAGACGTCCCGGGTGGGCACTGTAGGGGTCCTGCCCCTGACCTTCAGGGGAGGATTGTGTTCTCAGAGTTTAACTCAAATAGCAGGGAGACTTGGGCTGAAACCCGGAGGCCCCTGCACCAGGAGACCGTCTGCAGGCTGAGGGCGGGCCTCGGCACCGGGACTGGGTCTCTCTTCCAGTAAATGGTTGCACTCTCTTCAAACCTTGCATTCGGACAGCCCGGACTGTACGGCGTCGCCCACTCCACATTACAGTGGTTTTCTGCGACGTGCTCTGGCTTCCTCTCCGAGAGGTGACTTCTCCCGGGTCTCAGGCACGTTGTTCTAAAAAGTTCACTGTTTTACTGCCATGGAAGGCGTGCACACAGGAAAACCCCTTCAACGCCACGAGCTTGCCTGTAGGAGCGTCTCAGAGGCTGGGCTCTGCGGCCGCAGCACGGATGGGGGAGGGCGCTGTGCCTGCACCGGGGCCCCGAGGCTGCCCTTCCAGGCTCGGCCTCCCTCCCCCGGC